CCCCCGCCCCCGATTTTATCAATCGGGGAAAACCCGAACTCGAACCCGAACCCGATAAACACGGGTTTTCCCCGTCCAAATCGGGGCGGGTTCGGGCGGGTACCCACGGGGACGGGTTAGATTGCCATGCCTATAAATCCACACTGTTCTTAGATGATTCCATGTCAGGCACGTGGACAATTTGGCTAAGAGATTTTGTCCACTCACATACGAGACCAAACACATTACCTAAACGGAAAGCAAAAATCCATTCTTTATACGCAACATTTCATATTGTTTTAGACTATATAGTATTAAACTAATATTATTATTCAAACCCTTCTTGTGAGTTTTGAAATGAAGAGCACGCACCGTTGGGAGAAGACAAGAGGAAAATGTTAAAAAAGTGGGAAAGGTTTTGAATTGTGGAGAAGCTGACAAAAGGACAAGAGCTCTTGTGTAAGATACACAAGTTAGATTTCCAAGAGGACATTACAATACAATAATAATCATAATAATATTACACATTAATTATTGTGAATCATTTTCCCAAAATGACCCTTTTGTTTTGTACTATTCCTCCCCTGAGTTTGAAAGTTGCACACTCATAAATAAGCACCACCACCTAGTGTCACAGTTCATAACAGCTTTAATTCAAACTTTCAAACCCCATTTTCCTCTCTTCTTTTCTACTTTCTTGGACTTCATCCTTGTTTTCTGCTTCTGGGGTATGTATGCCTTTTTCACTTCATCATTTTCTCTCTTTGTTTCAACTATGTATATATATATGTTTGAAAATGCAAACTACTTAAAGGGTTCCTAAACTTTGTGTTTAGAGATTTTTTCTCTCTTCCCATTTGTGGTGGAAGTTCACTCTCTCATCATGTGATGCTTTCAGATCCCTGAACAGTGTTTGCTCATTAACATTTAACACCATTGTCCTCTTATGCAAACATCAAAGGTGAGTGCTTAACCTTGCTAGAATCTTGAAATAGTATTGTTCATTACTTTCATAGAACATTAAAAGATATCCTATATATGCATTTTTTTTTCGTTGTCATTCTTCTATGCTTTCTGCAAATATAAGCATTTTCCACCACAGCATCTGCACACGTGTGGTGGCTTTTTTTTTTAAAAAAAAAAAAAAGAAGAATTTTACTGAGGGGGAGAACATTAAATTTTTTAATCACAAAGTTTCTAACTTTCTATTGTTTTTCTTCAGTTTTTGAGTTTTTTTCTGCCTAAGAACAATAAATGAACACACATTCGGAGAATCCTCTCCATTGCCATCAAGATCTTATCCCCTTCAAATGTTCTTCTGCAGTGTACAGTGACTATTGACCCTTGTCTTTTTGAATGCCTTTTGTTTATTATTAGTCTTTTATTGGTCAAATCATTTCATTTTATATCTTTTAAAGAAAGTTTCTATGATACCTAATAAATGTTACTTTTAAATCTTTCATTAATACCATGGTGCCCATTAAACTCCGAAATATATACAGTAATTTAATGATACCTAATAAATGTTACTTTTAAATATTTAATTATTACTTTGGTGCCTACTGAACTCCTAAACAGATGCAATAATTTAATAATCATTGATGCTAGTAGTAAAATAAAAATATCATTTGTAGTAGTATTTTTCAGATCTGTATTTGTCTGCAGTTGCAGTAGTTTTTTTTTTTTTTTCATATGCGAATATTTCAATGTATAAACGATACTTTTGCTGTGTTGTGTACCATTTACTACTATTTTGAAATGTTGATTAATATTTTCGCCAATTTTTTTATCTTAAATTTTGTATATCATGAGCTAATTTGGTTTCGTTATTAATCTCGTATTTCACGCGCACGGAAGTGCGTGATTGGTAGACATCTTCAAGGGCATGCATGGCAACTTCAGAATCTTCATGTTCCACTGATTTGTCTTATGTTATGTTGGGTAGCATGGAATGGATTTTTTTTCTCTTTAAAATCCATCTGCCAAACATGGCACTAGGGAATGTTGTCTTGAAGGGGTTTAGGAAGAAAAGTAAAAAAAAAAAGTGATAGTATTTAAGGACATTGAATTCTTTTGAGAGCCAAAACTTCCAAACAAATTGCTTTTATCTATGCACTTGGATGTGTGGTTACTTTCATTGTCTGAACATTTGCCATGGAGATATTAGTTTCTACAAAGCATGTTTTTGTGAAAAGGGCATATTCTACTATATACACTATTTCGTTATCTATTTGTCCTTGTGCAAGACTCATAATTGTTTAACAGAAAAGTCACTTTATGCTATCTTTTGTAACTTTTGTCTAAATTTGAGTAAAAGAACAAATGTTAAAATTTTATGAATTTCTATTTTCTTGAAAACTTTATCATAGAAGCAAAATCCCTGGACCTTGGGGGAGTAAACTTGAAATATCTGAATTTCTTTAATACAGTTTAAGAAAACAAAATACTCTTTCTTTGAACTAAACATTTACATGCACTAATGTTTATAAGTAACATTTTTACATGTTGCATAACTTTTTCAACCTTATTCATCTAGTGTGAAATAATAGTTTGTCATAACAATTCACAGTTTAACATTGTTCCAAAAAAGTTGTATTTGGTCACATTATATATTAAGGCTAAAGGTAAATGTACTTTCATTTGTGATATAAGTTTACAACAACACTACAAGAGTTTGAATCTCTCTTCATAATTCATATGCATCTGTATCCACTATGGGGGTAGTGGTGCCATTCCTTTTTATAATGTGGGGTCTCGAAGGGTTCAGTTTCCTAAAAGGAAGAGACAATTTCAGAGAGAAAGGATATTCTACCATCTGATTATCGTTTTCATTTTTGTGAAGTGTCATTTGAAACAAATAAATGAATAAATAAGATAAACAAAAGAATATGTTTACCAAATAACTGTGGGCTCCGACCTTACTTTTTTTAATGGTCTCTGTGATGGTCAGCCCCCACAATTTTCAAAATGACATAAGATCTTGATACTGATTTCCTACAATAATTGATTTACCTACATGCCCCTTTCACCAAAACTTTTTCTTCATCGAGTTACATGGACTGAGTAACTTCCCATCTATTGATTTTTTCACTTAATAAGGTTGTTTGAGTTACATATGCCATCTGTTGGATAAACTTCTCCAGAAACGTTTTTTAGAGTAAAAAAACAAAAAGAAAAATTGAAATTGAACATTTTCATAAGATAAAATTAGTTTATGCATAACTTAAAATTAAGATTTTGGAGAAATTAACAGAGAAAGTTTCTACAAATTAGTTTATCCATTAACTAATTTTAGTTTGTAAATTTTTTTTTAATAAACTAAACTTTGATACTGCTGCTGCTATTTGGCTCATCATTGCTAAGTTCCTCATTCAAAAAGAGGACCATGAACAACAAAAACTACTTTAGACTACTGCTCAGAAGCCAGGGTAAAAAGCACTGATATGACTACTATTTGAGGTGTACCTCTGTCAACTCCATTATACAACCACTTGAATGTGTGGTGGGCCTAGTGCAATTAATGTGTAAGTGAAAATAGTTACTTCTTTGCTAGGAGTATCAGGTTGCTTATATATATGGGGTCACATAAATTCTTTTTTTGCCTTTCTTGGGGTCATTGTTTTTAATTGACTCGAGTTTTAAACCGTGGACCATTGTTTGTATTAGGTTGCATTTACTCCTTATGAACACATGCAACATTTACAGCACTTACTCGCTTTTAAACAAAGCAAAAAGCACTGAATAAAGTAGCCTCTGACCCTGCATGCTTTCTTGCTCTTTGGGGTGGTATTAAAGGCATACTTTTATAGCATGTCATGGTTTGAGCAGGACCAGTGTGCAATGTGGGGTTGCTTTATTCATATTTTTCATCTCTTCTTGATTTTTCCGAAAGGGTCATCTACCTTCCTAGTTTCTAGTGGAAGTTAAATTTTGGTATCTTGGGTTTAAATCAATTGCCTTTTAGTTTAATAGTCACGGTTGTAGTGAGTTGGCTCCTTTATGATAATGTGGGTTCAACTTAAAGGTCATAAATGCACATGGCCATTGTGATTTTCTTTGTCATTCTATATCTCTTACCTAATTATGGGTTGGAGGAGGTTGAGGCTAGATGGGGGAATATAAAAGCCTAACTGCTATTAACAAGAAATCACTCCATTTGCTTCATCGAGTGCTTTCAAGGGCGTTAGTGAAATCTTGAAGAATGTTTTTTCATTGGCATTTCTCTGCTGTTAAATAAAGCTAGTGAATACAAAAGTTCTAAAGACGTTCCATGGTCTTATTCTCTACCCCTTTTATTTTAAATGGTGCATCATTGTTCATCTTGTGTCATTTATTTTATACATAAGCAAGTTCTGCGTATGAGCCTATTTTTTTTTTTTAAATATATATCACGTGACTGGATGGAGTTCATTTGATCATACAGTTTATTCATTTGAACTTGGATTTTTGTATAGCAGGTGAAACATTTTTAGCCAACAAATCCTTCCAAGTGTCCCATCATTTTCCATCTTCCAGATTCAAATGCCAAGATCAAGGTGTGATAACCTTATCCATTTGTAGTGTAATATTTGCTTTCATGTAGTAGTTTCTCTGTATCTATATTCTTAGATTGTTAATAAACTCAAGTTTATGTATTCTTTCTGTTTTCCTTGTTCATCAACCAAGCAATGCATGTCACTCTTAGTGCTGCTTATTGGTATCTCTGCTGCATACAAATTGTGGCACATATGTCAAAATTCATATTTATATTTGGTTTTCCATAGTTTCATGTTTATTAATTTACCATACTCTATAGCTTTAACTCTCCCTCTTTTATGAATAAAATCTTTATGGTGAGTGGAAATATATCATGTGTTAATGATGACTATTTCTGAGCCAGCACTTACCAGCTAAATTTAAAGTGGTCATCGAGTGATTATTGTCGAATTGATTGAGAAATTCTGCATAACATACTCATGCCATGTTAGATAAAATTTATTCTTTAGCACCTGACCCAATTTTAAGTTGATTTTTTTTAATATTTTTTTACAATATCTGTACATGATCAATGTGAGGATGAAGGTTCAAATCACCATATAGTTTTACTTGATCTCTATGCTATTAATCAAGTTATGATATATTTATTGAAAAGTGGGTTATTATAACACTATTTTGATGTTGAACATTTTACCATGTTGCGTCTCTTGAAGGGAAGGACTAGCCAATTCCATATCCATTTTTCTAGCTAACTAGTAGTTTCTGTATATCATTTTTGATGAAGCTTTGTTTCCTAACAGGGGATCTGATTTGCCTCAGAGGCAGTCTCCAAGAGGTCCACATCAACTCCGGACATCAAGTTCTGACTCTGATCCGTTGCATCATCGACCGATTGCTGACCGAAGTCCGAAGCTAGGAGAGCGCCGTTCCCCAAGAGGCACTCAATCTGAGGCACTAAATCAGAAGAAGCTAGGAACTCGCATTGCAGATTTGGAGTCTCAGCTTGGTCAAGCACAAGAAGAGTTGAAAGTTCTAAAGGACCAACTAGTTTCTGCTGAAGCTGCAAAGAAAGAAGCTCAAGATGAGCTAGTGAAGAAAGCTGTGCAATCAGTAGTGGTAGAGAAGTTCCAAGAGAAGTGCACTTCCAAGAATGCTCAAGAGACTAACAAAACTGAAACCAAACCCCAACAAATTGTACCTGATGACAACCAACAAGAGACTGATGTGTTTGAAGTTCCAATTGAGAAGTTGACAATTGAGTTCATCAAGCCTGCTGACAAATCAGAAAAGGAAACTCAACCATTTGAAGACTCGAATGCACCAGCAGTATCAAAGCCTTCTGTGGAGGAACATGAACTCACACTAAAGAATGATGAGATTGCATTGTTGAAATCCAGTTTGGAAGAGAAGGGGAAGGAGTTAGAGTCCATGAGTAATGAAAAAGAGAATCTGAAGAACCAACTGAATGCAGCAGTTTCAAAAGTGTCAGCTGCTGAAACCAAGGAAGAAGGAATGACCTTGCAGTTGAAGCAACTGAGAGAAGAGTTGGAAGCTAGTAAAGTCAATGCAGACAAGTTAGATGAGAAGTTGAAATCTGTGGAAGCAGAAAAGGAGGGGTTGGAATCAGAGATGAAGAAGCTGAGGGTGCAAACTGAGCAATGGAGAAAAGCAGCAGATGCTGCAGCTGCAGTGCTTGCTGGGGGTGTGGATATGAGTGCAAGGATTCCTGAAAGGTGTGGCTCCATGGATAAGCACTTTGGTGGCACATTTGAGACACCTGCTGGTAGGTACAATGGATATGTGGGGTCTCCTGGCATGGCTGATGACTTGGATGATGGTTTTGGAAGTGGAAAGAGGAAGGGTTCTGGGATTAGAATGTTTGGTGATTTATGGAAGAAGAGGAGCCAGAAGTGATTTCTGGCTTTTATATTCAGTGAGTGAATTAGCACCACATTAACTAAGGTCATATTTTGATGGTAGCAGAAACTGCAAAAACAATTGCTTACTGTTTTGCATTTTCTGTTATCCTGGTCATTTCTGGTATTATTAAAGCCACTAAGCGTGTTGTGCTACTGTTGCATGATATGTGCAAGTTAGTGATGTGAACTTTTTGAAAGATGGATTATATATTTCACTTCTATGCTGAGATGAAGCCACTTTTCTTGAAAGGCCTGTGTTTAGGCATATTATCTTGTTTGCACTGTGCTTTGGAGTTAATGTCTTAAGTAACATGCTTCATTTTATGTTAACTTTGGTATGACTCTAAAATAAAGTTCATGTCTAAAATGTGTATTGTCTGCCAGTCAGCAACTTCGTATCGAGGTAGATTAGATTTGGGTGTCAAATAACAGCGCTCACAATTTTGTCGGAGAAGCAATGATGGTAACAGATGAAAACAATATGCAGAAAAATGGGTGAAAACTTCACAATGTGATGCCTTGTACACGTGATTGCTGTAAGCTTTAGGCGAGCTTTCTAATTCCAAGATGAATAAATCACGTCCAATAAGAATTCTACAAATTTCTGAGGAAACAGGTTTGATAAAAAAGACTTGCCTAGTGGTGGTGTCATTGATGAAAGATGATTTGCTACTTGAGTGGTGAGTAATCTTGCGGTAATGGTTTATTGTTCCCCAGCCAAAATAGTTCTAGTATCTTTGACACGGTACATCTCTTGAAAAGCTCTCATTGCTGACACAAGACGATCATAATCCTTATTTTTACTACAAACAAATTAGTTGTACCTAAAATGTCAAGGGATTACAGGTGAGTGTAGTAGCGGGCATCTACATTTGCCTGTAAAAAATTCTGAACATCTTGTTCGAACACCTAATCAATAATTTTGATTAATATCAAATTTGGCACAAAAGAGGTATTCCGTATTTCATATGCTTAGCTTATAACTGATATAATTCATACTGAACACTTAAGTGTATCAATCAGATCTGCTATGCGATCCTACGGTCTGCATTTAGCGTGATGCTCAACACTCAATACTCGAAATTATGAAGAGGAGATGAAGTGCAAACAGATGGCTGCACATTTAATAAAGCTATGCTTTATATATAAACAAAATTAATCGCACAGTCTAAATTATGCTTCTTCCATTTTCCCTTAGATCTTAAACAAGATAACAAGCATTTTTGCAAGAGCTTGAAAACTCCCTATTTCTATTAATCCAATGAGAAATATGTATAGGACCCCCATTCCATCGCAAATACAACTTATAAGTACAATTCAATGAGAGCAATACAGTTAAAAAAAAGTCCTTCGATATTTATGACTACTAATCCTCATCGCTTCCATAGTTTTGACACAAAGATTGTAGTCCACTAGTAGTATTTGTTTTATTATCTTCCTCTTCTTTCTTTTGTTCTGGTTCTGCAGGACTTTTAACGTCAGAGGTCACTGGTTTCTTAATGACAGAAATCCTCACTAAAGAATTAAGCTTTCCACCACTGCGAGAATTTTCTGCAAATAACCAACATATGGCATAATGTGTCACATTTCCAAGTTGATAATATTGTTAAACTCGTCTTTCAAGATAAATGTCAAATAAATAAATAAATCAATCAAATATAGCCAACTACATTTTACACTTCCCAAGTTGATAATATTATCGAACATCTATTTCACAAGTTAAATGTCAAATAAATAAATAACTCAAATATAGCCAACTATACTTGAATCAAAATGAAAATGAGGATGTGAATAGTGTGCAGATATCCCCCCTTACACTTCTGGACATCATACTAGTGTTTAAGAAAATGGCACCGCAACTATTAGGCAAACAAAGATCAGATTTGAGCAAAGATCAAATCAGTGTATTACAGTGCAACCCAACAGCAAATCAGGTTTCTTTTTGGTAGAGGGTGCCCGTATAGCATCAATGTCGAGTCAATCAGATGGTTTAATGTCAGTTGGGTTCTTTGACTAATACTAGATAGGGAGAGTGAGATCACAAATGTATGAGGTTAAAGATTTCTTACACCTAAATACTAGATGGGCAATACACTATTGAAGATGGGCCTTCAAATTGATCTGCTCTCCTCATGTTAATCCTCTTTCAATGAAAATGACTTCAGTTTGAAGCAATAACATTACTTAAAATTCAGTGTACATAATGTATTGGTTAAGTTTGATGTAGCTATCTAGATAATAAACACATTAAAAAATGTCCACATACCTTGTTTGCCAGAATCATCCAAATTGGCTTTTGTCAGAGTGTCGGTTGGTTTGCTTGGAAAGTCTTCAGAAATCTTTTGCCTCTGCAGACAGATACAAACAAACTTTAAGCTCAAACAGTTGTACATGATTTTGACATCTTAAATGAACGAAAAATCAAGCACCTAAATAAATGCTCAAATTTGCAAATTCAGAAAGATTTCAACTATATATTTGTCAAAACATTTGATGATCTTCACATGTATAACGTATTTCTTCCATATTTCAAGTTTCATTAGTCTGGGTAATGTTAGCAAATAAAAATATTTTAAAAAAGAATATACAAAATAAATAGTAAAAGATCAAGAAACATGCAACATATGCTGTCAATATCTATCTTAGATCTATGAAACCCCCCCTTAAACAGACCAATAGCAAAACACTGCAAAGATGCTAGAAATATGCATTTGAATTTTAGGGAATGTTGAATGTCAGAAATGCAATTTATAGATGATCATTATTCTTTTTTACCAATGGAAACAAGACTGTTTCATAAGTCTTTTAAGTGCAATTTTATTTTCTGACACTTTAGAAAAACAGAAAAAAATGAAAAAGCATTCAACCAGCCATTTTAATGCTGTAGGCATGGTTTGAAATTCACAATCACATGTAACTTTACTTCTCATTTTCTGTTTCTTTCCTGGCTATAAATGATTCTTTTTTCAAACCACATTTTACTCCATATTTATCATCCTGAAGTTCATCTTATAACCCCTAATATTAACAATTAGCAGCTTTACAGAACCTAAAACCAAATTTTCGTTAGAGCTTGCCACACATTCTGAATGAATAGTACAATCAAATTCACAGGGAACAGCTGGTTGAGAAAAAAGAGTCAAGAAATGACTCAGGACAGTGGTGACTGAAAATGAGGGATATCTGAGTGATACAAGGTTGAAGATTAAAGATCTTGGATTTCAACAGTTCAGAGTGGAATGAAAATGATTGTGAAGTTCTGCATAATGATGCTGCCATAATTTATTAGGCTGAGAAGAAATTAAAGAAAAATCAATTACTACAAATACATGCATGCACTTGACAACAACATACCTTTGGATTAAAATTGGATGTTTCCCCATGTCCATTTGAAAGCTGAACCAATTGCTCCTCAGTTTCAATATCTTCATCACTAATTCTTTTGACATAACCTTCTGAATTCTGTTTAAGATAGTATAGAGCAAACCATATAGATTAAGAAAAGGAAATAGATTGATAATAGAAGTTAACTAAAAGGGTGAGAACTAGAACTTCCAAATAGTAATACTTACATGGAAGACAACTGATTTTAACAACGCTTCATCTTCTTCTTCTAGTCTTTTCTCCTGAAATCATTACATAAATTAACTCAAATTATCGAATGGAAAATGATAATTACATAATGCTTCGAAATTACACTCCATATTTATGCCATAGCCCAAAATTAGAAATAATAGATAATCAATGTTTACATTGGTTGTCTTGCGATTATAAAGGTTCAGGGTGAGTAATTAAAATTTAAAGGGCATGCATTAGAGTTTGCAACCCAATTATTTGTCAAGAGAACCGAGATTTTGGTTCAAAAAGCACTGATATAGCATCGCAAGAATACACTAAACACCAAACCAAAAAGCTGATTTTGTCAGTATCAAAACAGGTTTTCTGGAGTCTGGAGAAATTAAGCAGGGTTACACAAATCATACAACAGACTTTAGAATTCCTTATTTATATAGTTCTATTCTTTTATAGTCATTTTAGAGAAGTATTTTTGTTCCTTTTTATCTGTAACTTCGGAAAAATAACAAGGCATTAATTACTTTTTCAACTTACACTTGTTATGAACAAGTGAAAGAGAAAAACAGTAGGATACTATTAATACTTTTTCCAATTGAGGGAAATTTAGTTAAATACAGTTATTTTTTCTTATAATCATGGCTATTTATGACATTCTTAATTATTATGCATTTCAGCAACCTTAATAGTGGGTAAAAAGAATGGATTGGAGAGAGTAGTAATTTTTGAACAAGTTCATTGTCTATGAGATTGAATATTCTACCATTACAAATATTTTGTTGGTTAAACTATTCAATCGGTCCATGTATTTGCACCATTTTTATGTTTTAGTCCCTAAATGAGCACTTTTAATTTCATTGTTGTCCCTGCTGTCAAATTCTCTCTAACTCCATCAACATTGCAATGACTTGGAGAAGATTTGTACCAAATTGATCCATATCCCATGGTGAGACAGTAAATACTATTCCTCACATGAGGGATGTTTTGTATTCTGATGTATCTACCTCTTGTGCAAAGAATTTTGCAGGCTCTTCTCACATGAAGGATTATGGAGGCTTCTTTGTAGAAATGTCTCAGAATGATTTCTATGTTCATAGGGTGATGGCATCTGTTTATCTGCATCTTATGATCTATCAAGGTGCAGCAAGAAACTTGTAGAACCTGTAGGGTTTGGTGGCTGGACGTGGGGGAAGCAAAGTTATAGACACTGCTAGAGTTCCTGGAAATTGGGAAGGAATCTGAACTGATGTGCAAAGAAGTGTCAGCACCATGGAAAAGCGGGTATTTTGTACTACACCTACTTTTTTGTGATACTCTTTTATTAAATGGAGCACTTATGTTCACGTACTGAATAGGGAGTCATCTAGTATTTAACCCACAGATTGTTACATCACTAGAGAGAAGGAGAAGCCACTTCACAACATGCCTACTCAGCATCTGTGTGCCACATGGAGAAGAAGCCATGTCACGCATTCTTAAACAGAGTTAGAGGGGGATTTGATGGCAAGAACCAAAAAAATATTAAAATTACTCATGTAGGGACAAAATTGTGTAATATTTAGGTATAGGGATCACAATGTAAGAAAAAAGAAGTGAAAGTATAGGACCTAATGAATAGTTAAACTTATTTTGTTTTATAATGAATCTTAACTAACCAGGGAATGATTACCAATAAATTACATTTTAAACTAAGTTTGTAATTTTCAAAATCGTATATGTTCCTTTTGTAATCTATAATAATAAACCCTTGCCTCAAACAGGAGATTTCCTGTACAAACTACAAAGCAAATATATTATTCTATACCAAGTTTTATCATACCTTGTCAGCTGCTGTGCGCTGCAACGCCTCCAGCATTTCATCAACAGAGACAGTTGCATGCCTAGACTGGAAAATGAAAGAGATCATGTTAGCAATTACCATCCATACACAGACTTCATATCAATGCACAAATCTAATTATTATAAGTTTAGAACAAATGAAGCAAAACATTTTTGTTATGCTTTCGTATCAAAATGCCCTGTGTTCTACAATTATACTGCCCACATCCCTATACAATCATTTATGCACAAGCTTCAAATCTAATACACCATTATATACATCGCAATCACAGTGGTGAGTACCTTCATTGACTTCATCTCATCCAATGCTGCAAGGATGTCCATCTCCCTTTTAGAATCCAGGGTTCTATTCTCCAATGATTTCATAGCATCTCCCATTTCTTCAGCTTCCCTCTTCTGCTTCATTTTATCGGCTTCTTCATCTTCTGCACGCCAAGGCTCAAAATTTCTAGTTGCACCCGATTCAACGATATAATCTGAATTCTGTGGATCAGTCTTCATCGTAATCTCAGCCGAGCACCTGGTGCATTTAAAGTAGAACCTGAAGATTTGTATACCCAGATAAGTCTGCACAAAAAATAAAAATCAAACAAGAAATTCAATCATAATGTCATAATTGAAATGAAATTACACATAAATCGAGAAGCAATTATGAACCCCCAATATCTACAACTATTTTTTTAATCCATGGACATGGCCTGTACAATATCTCAAAGTTGACAACCAATGACTGAACAACAACATTCAACCAATCACATAAATAAAGGAACCCAACAAAAAATTCGAAAGAGACAACCATTAGAATTTCCTTTTGAAATGTATATCATAATCAGATAGCACTGAAACTAAGGTACTAAAGATCGAAAAAATTGAAATTGAACTTGTATTGATAATAATGAAACCTCGCCAATAACATCTTCCTTTCTGGAATTGAACTTTGTTCCTTTGTAGATGTAATTGCCGCAAGTGTTGCACCGAATGCTCATGGGAAGCATCATGCGGACCTTGATCTGCTGGTTCTTGGGCCTCCTTGCTCTGGGGAGCTTGGAGGGGTCAAAGTCAGGAGGGTAATACTTGTTCAACACCTTCCTCTCTCCCATCTTTCTTCTTCAAATTCAAATTTCTTCCGAGTCAATTGAATTCAGCAGCAGGAACAACCTAGGGTTTTCTTGTCTGATAAGAATCAAACTAATTGTGAATAACAGTGTGACAACAACAAAGGAAATCACAGAACGATAATCAAATTAGAGAAAATGCGGAATTAAATTACTAACGTGCTGTGCTGAGACGGGAACAGAGGCGTAGGGTTTTGCAACTGCGGAGTGTGAACACGGGCGGAGTGAGGAGGTTGCTAAGGGGCGGAGCCGCCGTGGCCTGCGACGCCAACAGGGCGGGGCGGAGCGGCGACGGGATGTTCGTGCAATGCGTCGAGAGATTGACTTCAGTTCATTGTCTTGTTCAATTTTGTTAAACCTAGCTACGACTATTGATTAGGATTTAAATTTTTTTAATGTGACATGTTATTATCGGTATTTTCTTAAGGTAAAACTATAATTTTGATCTTTTAGTTTATCATTAAGATTTATTTTAATTTTCAATTTTGAAATGTTTCTTTTAATTTTTTTTAGGTTAAAACCCTATTTTGGTCTCTTATAATCTTTTTTTATTTCAATTTAGTTTCTCATTAATTTTTAGTCTCAATTTGGTCTCAAATTAATTAATTGGTTTCAATTTAGTCCTAAATTAATTAATTGGTTTCAATGTGGGACTTTCCGTCCAAATTGCTTTAACGGTGTTAAATTTTGGCCACGTAGATGCATACGTGGCATGAGATTTTTTTTGAAAACACCTGGACCCAGAACGGCCCGTTCCAGTTTCAGAACGGGCCGTTCCGGTTTTATTTTATTTTTATATATATAAAATATTAATAATTTTATAAAATATATATTATTAATTATATTTTAATTATGTTATTATATCCAATAAAATAAATATATTAATATTTTTTTATATTTTATTTTATTATGTTTATCTTATTAATTTTTATCATTTTATTCCTTTAATCTTAAATAAGTTGCAAAAAATTATAAAGTGATATTCCTTTTATCTTATTAATTATTATATTTTTTAATAAAATTAATTAAGAATATTGGTTTAATTGCATTTTTTATCCCTCAAGTATTACAATTGTGCAGTTTTGTGATCTCCAAGATTTTAATTGCATAATTTTAGTCCTTAAAGAATTGCAATTGCGCGATTTTGGTCCTTCAATTTTTAATTGAACAATTTTAGTCCCTCAAATATCATAATAGTATGATTTTTGTTTCTCCCATTAAAAATTAATAATTTTAATATATATATATATATATATAATGTTTTAAAATTAAATAATTATTTATCTATTCAAATTAACGTATATTATAATTTTCGATATTATATCAATAATATTATTAATATATTTATAGATAAACTAATAATTTGATAAATATAACTTGTTATATATTAATATACTTTTACAAAAATATAAGTATATTAATTAGAAATATATATCTGATCTTATATATTTATATTTTTGTAAAAGTATATTAATATATATTAAGTTATATTTATCAAATTATTAGTTTATTTATAAAAAGGGTAAAAATATTATTGATATTAATTTATCAGTAATATTAAAATACTAATAATATATAAATTTTATTTATTTAGTAATAGTAAATATATATCATTTGATACATTAAAAAAAAATAATATACGTTAATTTAAATAAATAAACAATTATATAGTTTTAAAACATTATATATATATATATATTAAAATTTTAAAATTATTAAATTTTTAATGAGAAAGACTAAAATTCCACAATTATGATATTTGAGAGATTAAAATTGTTCAATTAAAAATTGTGAGACTAAAATTACACAATTATAATCTTTTAAGGACTGAAATTACTCAATTAAAACCTTAGAGATCAAAATTGCATAATTATAATATCAAAAACACAATTAAGTAAAGAATATTTTATTCACAGTTCTGGAACGGGCCGTTCTGAAACCAGAACGGCCCGTTCTGATTTCAGAACGGCCCGTTCTGCTTCACTGGTGGTGTTTTAATTTTGCAACCAGAACGGCCCGTTCCGGTTTCAGAACGGGCCGTTCCGGGTCCAGGTGTATTAAAAAGAATTTTCTCATCCACGTGGATGCCACGTATGCATCTACGTGGCATCCACGTTGTCAAAAGTTAACTCCGTTTAAATAATTTGGACGGAAGTCCCACATTGAAACTAATTAATTAATTTGGGACTAAATTGAAACCAATTAATTAATTTGGGACCAAATTGAGACCAAAAATTAATGAGGGACTAAATTGAAACAAAAAAAGATTATAAGGGACCAAAATAGGGTTTTAACCATTTTTTTATCATTTAAACTTGGATGTATTTAACTTTTTAAATAATAATATTTTTTTAACCTATTTAAGACATAAAATTTATTTTAATAAAAATTATTGATCGCAATTAAAATTTAAACTAAAAATTTATAAACATGATTAAAAAATTACATAAAAATAAGTTAAAAAATAATCAAAAATAAAAAAAAAATTATATTATTTTTTAATTTCTTGTAGAATATATTTTTATACAATTTTTAGTATGTTTATAACTGTTTTAAATTCATATGTCAATTAAATTTCATAATTTTTATATTGATGAATTTAATATTATAGGTTTTATATCATGAATCAGTTAAAAATTTATTTAGAATTAGGTGAAATTAAATTTCATAATTTTTATATTGATGGATTTAATATTACAGGTTTTATATAATGAATCAGTTAAAAATTTATTTAGAATTAGGTCACAAAATTGAAGATAATCATTATTTTAAAAGAATGAAATTGATTTAAATATAAAAGATCAAAATAAACATTTTAATAAATAAAGGACCATAATGAATCTAAAATGTAGATAAATAACCAAAAGTACAATTTAACTTATTTTCTTATTAAACCTTATTTATATTTTTTAAAATAAAATTATTCAAATTTCATGTCACTAAATGTCACATCACTTAAGTAATGATTGATCAACAAATGATGGGTCAATGTTAAAAGTTAATAATTAAGGAATCTCAAATTGACGATAAAATCAAAATTTCAATTATTTATAACAAAGGTACAAATTGTGACATTCTTTACTTTACACATTCTTAGGGGTGACAAAATGGGTCACAACACATAGGCTAGGCCAAACCAACCCTGCCTAACCCGTCAGCATGTCGAGCCAAAGGTTGGTACTTACTTGTTTTTTTCTTTCTTCCTATTTTTTTTATGCATATGGGAGGCACGAGTCACACAACACTCATACTCCCTTCCATTCCCTAGATCATGAGTCTCACACTCTCACTCACTTCATTTAGGTTAGTAAATAGAACTGGAAAGAAAGGCTTTAGGGTTCCCCCTTTCAAACGACATGAGTGGCTAAGTTCTCTAGGGTTCACCGTGACTCCTTCACGGCAGTGAACGACGACATTCTTGTCACTTTGTTACAACTCATGACTCACGATTCATAACTAATGGCGAAGAAGAATGACATCCTTTATCCCTTCCTACAAGTTTTCTCTTCCTCATAGCTCACATCTAACGATGAAAACATAACCTTACAGGGATGTCCTCTATCCCTTCCTGTGAGTGCATCAATCCGAGTGAAAAGAGGGCTCACCAACTAGGTATGTTTCACTCCCTTACAACTTTCTTTTCTTACTTATATGTTTGATTTGATGAATTAATGAATGAATGATGATATTAATTTGATCCCATTGAAAATTTGGTTCTTTCCTTTCTTTATTAAATTGCATATACTGCAAGCGATAACCTCACATTGTTTTATATACACATTAATGCAAGTGAGGTGCATGAATTAACCAATGACAAAGTTAACAAGGTCAAGAGTAAATAAAGCAAAGCAAAACATAGTTTTGTTGACTACAACCAACCAAAAAAGTGTAGTAAAAGCTAAGTTAATGACAAATAATTATTTTATAATGTAAAAGCAACATGATAGCAATTCATAGATTTGTAAAAACTCATTCAATTTTCTAATCAATATCCATTATTTATCTCATTCCATTTTATAATATGGTAGTTATTTTATTTTCCTAATATAATCACATATTCAAGGCTTGATTACTATTTCCAATGCATATATACTAGCCTGAGCTTATAAGGAGATTTAACTTTTAACTTTTGGCATATTACTATTATTTGGCTACCATTTGGATCTACTATTAACTTTTAGCATATTACTGAATTAGCTTGATTACTATTAGTTGGCTACCATTCAGATATACTTTTTTTTGTAGTTATTTATATAGGTTGGTCCATTGAGAAAATGCCAAAATTGGCTCAAAATTTGAATGCATCTATGTCAAATAAAAAACAAAAGAAAATAATTAATAAATTATTGTTTAAGTTGGTTATCAAATTGCCTTATTAGATTAAAATTTACAAAGCATAAGTTGGTTATGTTTCATTATTTGATTATAAGTGAATTGGTTATTATTGATTAAAGTGGTTATGTTTCATTACAATTTATAAAGTATGAGTTGGTTATTGTTATGAAGGTTTCCTGTATGATTTTTTATTTCATTATTTGATTAGAAGTAGATTGAATTGAGTCAATATTGAATTACTAATTATGTTAATTTGGTATGAGTTGAACCAGCCTTTGTTACTAATATTGTTATGTTAATATTGACCATGTGTGTTGATTGGTAATATTATAGTGATTTTTAACTTTTAAAACTTTAATAGGATATTTGGATTTGGAAATTGAAATGGATAAGCCAATTAGTAAACTTGTTTGTGATGTTAGTGATGATGAAATTGAGGTTGAGGATGTTGAAAAAGAATTTGAATTTACTGATGTTGAACTTGATAAGAAAAGGGTCAAGTTCACAATATTTGATTGTTGGAAATTTTTTACTAGGATTGGAATGGACAAGGATGGAAAAGAAAGGGCAAAGTGTAATGGTTGCGGTAAAAATTGTATAATTAGTGGCAAAATATATGGGATTTCTCATTTGAATCATCATATTTCCAAATGTGAGAAAACAAATCTTAAGATGTGAGTCAAATCATATTAGACATGTAAGGATAGTTAAATTCAAGAAAGATAAATCAAATGATATTTCGTGAGTTGTATTGTCATCTAATGACGAGGCATGGGGTGCCCTCCAAATTTATTGAGTGCCTATAGTTTGGGTCTTTGATAGCTTTTTTAAATCTTGATGCAAATCCATTTTCTAGAAATATTGATAAAGATGATATGTGGAAAGTATTTATTAGAGACAAGGTCAAACTTAAAAGTGAGTTGACTACTATTCCTAATAAGAATTGTTTAACTTTTGATTTATAGGCATCTTGTAATATTGAGAGTTTTCTTAGTTTGAATGCTCATTATGTTGACCTAAATTGGAAGTTA